GATGATACAATTTTAAAGTTATATTGGAAACGGAATTTTTAAAATTAATTAAAAAGTTATTTAATTTTTATCAGTTTATCGGACAAATTTTTATAAGTAGAAAGGAAATTGATTTGATCTCAAGTCGTCCCTCAGTGGATTACACTACTTTGAGGTAGAATATTACTTAAATTGCACGTGGATTTGAAATTGCACTGCGTCAAGTGGTCTCTTTTGTTCTTTTTTATCAGAAGGGCCCCAAGGATGTCCCTGGTAATCATGGACAAAACGTCGATAACAAATAACTTAATATAACTTCACTGTCTTGTTGTGTAATTCACTAGAAATCTAGTAACCGGTTAGTAAAGAAAGAGTAGTCATAATCGTGATGATCTGTGTTTAATTATGTGAGATTTATTCAAATATCCATCTGGACCTACCGTGAGTTGCAGTTTTGCGTTTAGACTTCTATATAGAAAGGCTATATCGGGATGACCCTTGATCCCTAAGGAGTTAGTATAAGACTGAAAAGTGGCGCCCTCTGGGTTTTTAATTTTTTGGAAAATTCCATTTTCATTAACTTCAACACTTTTGGTACTTATATAATATATATGTCTATGTTTTATTTATTATTTTTCCATTATAAACAAACTCATAACAAACCTAACCTAGGAAGAGGGAATAGGAGTGGAGGCAGAAAAGGGGAAAATCTTTCACGGGGGAGGGTAAGTGCTTAAACAAAAAATCCTGTAAACATACATCATGTTGTAACCTTATGATCCTAAGCAATCTATGTAATGATTGAGAAACCTAGATGGCGCTACTTTGGAGTCACTTATACTAACTGCCTAAGTGTCAAGGGTCACCACTATACGGCTTTCACCTCTCGGCCCAGTCCATATACATTGTGCGCAAGTCTCGCCCTGAAGATGTTCATAAGTGAATGAGTGAAAGTTGTAGTTATTGGGGGTAAGTCCTTTTAGTTATTTTATTTATCCACGCCCTAGTCTCCTTTCCTATATATTTGAATATATTAATCTGTAAAATGGCAGCCGAAATAAACAACATCCTGAGCAGTTCTAGTTTTTATATTAAAGAAGTAGAAAAGAAAGCGTGAGCGTGCTACAAAATACTACGATTCCTAAAACAGGAGGTTTAGCTTTACACTAGACTGTTAGGCGTGTTCCCTCCCGAATTAAATAGCTAAGCAATTCTTCTCTGCTTGCTTATTGTATTTTATTGTCATGATTCAATTTTAAAACAATTAAAAAAGAATGATAGGTATTTGTTAATACAAACAACGTTAATTATTTTTCTTTTATTTTTATTTCAGTTGTAACATTTTGATACAAAATGCTTGTATAATGACTTCTAAATATTAAGTATAAATAATTATCAAGGAACAACAATACTGTAGTTTTATTAAACCTGTTGTAGATGTCCGTTTAGAATAATAGGGTCTAAAACCTTATGGCACTGTTTTTGCAAATTTGAATATTTATCCAGTTCCAGAATATTCACATTACTAGGATTCTTCCACATGGCGCTTATTTTCCTCACCAAATACAACAGCTGCAATTTTTAAAGTATTTAAGTACCTAATGGAATTTTCAAATCGATATAAAACAAAAGTGCTTACTGGAAATAGAAAGTCAGTACCTAATTGTTCTAATTAATTATTAATGTAGATCAATGGGAAATTGCTGTTTGTAGACACCCGTAAAATATTCAAATCGTATACAGAACGAAAGGCACGAAAACAAACAATTTCTGTAGATTTCACATGAAGCCAGTAATGAGAAAAATGCTTTACTACTACATTCTAAAAGTACATAGGTATAAGACAATTTCTCGAAAAACTGTCTCGTTTATTAAAGAAGGGTACATCTAGAATGCAGACGAAAGTTTACCTGTTTTCGAGTTGTCCTTTCAAAAACATTTATTTTAATGTGTTGGAAAGGATGAAGTAGGTAGATTACCACCGTTCGATATCAAAATTCCATGTGTTTTCTTATGAAGGTTCGTTTTCGTCCTTTCAGTACTGTTTTACCCCCTCCCCTCCACTCCTACTCAGACACCTTTGACAGCTGTCATCTTCAGCCATCTTTGACCCACTCCTTCTGCGGAAATACCGCCCCCCTGAGGCGCCTTCATCAGTAAAGGGGGTAAAACAGTACATAAAGGACGAAAATTAACCTTCATAAGAAAATACATGGGATTTAGATGATTTTTATTTTCTAAATTCACAATATTATCAATTGTCGTCAGTGGAATCGGGGGTCTTTTATATACACGGATCCCTGGACTGCAGCCCAAAAGTATATATTTCCGACTGTCTTTTTCTCTTCGAATCAATAAACGTTATCGTAATAAATTGTCAAATTGCTTAGCAAGCAAGTTATTGATATGTCGTAGAAACAAGATTACTTACTTGCCTAATAAGCAAGTTATTAACCTAAGCTAGCGTTAACCTTATCTAAGATAATAAAAACAGTTTTTAGAATGAATGTTGTCTAGAACCCCAATTCTATACAGAAAAAGACAATAATTTCTCAGATTTTTTTTTACTATATTAGAATAGGTTATGCTAGGGTAGGATTACTCTTTCAATAATCGATTTGTCACTTCCTTCCCCTGCCCCTCCACTATTTGTAGCATACTTAAAACCACTTTTCTTTGAGGTGTACATGGTGTTAATAGAAGTTAATAAACATGCTACTAAAAGAAGTTAAATTAATCGTGCTTGTTAAGCACGTATATATCCGAATATTTCAATCAAATAACATAATATTTTCTTTGTTTCAGGTAAGTGTTTCCAATAACTGTTTGATGTACTCTTTAGAAGCTGGTAAGTAAAACGCACATCTCAGTTCTATATATAGTAATATTTTAACCCAAGAAGCGACAAAAAGATGAGTGGTATTAAACATTAAGCAATTTGTGATAAGCGTTTCAGTTATGCTCTAAAGCTAAAGGATATTACCACGTGTTCAAATCGATTGCAAATTTCGTTGAACCATTTATTGAAANCTGTAAATGGTTATTTTGAGGAGCTTGACGAATCAGTCTATAGAGATGGCATTAATAGACTGGAACACCGCTATGAGAAATGTATCAGCCTTGGAGGAGATTATGTTGAGAAATAAAAAAAAAAAATTTTTAAAAACCTTGTTTTTCTTGGTCAGGCCGGAAACTTATCAATCCACCCTCGTATTACAACGTATCAACTATTGCTTCCCAGGTTACCGCGAAAAAACTCATTCATGCATTGAACTTGCACCAAGTAAGATTTATATAAAAGAACCTTCCCCCCTTTTTTTGAACTCCGTAAGTAATGGATCCCTAAACGAAAATACACTTACCAAATAGAATCCATGATTATTCGCTTGATAATCTCTAAAACCAATACATTCGTCGTGAAAATCTGTTATGAAAGTATCGTGGGCGTGATAAATTGAGTCAAAATCATAAGCACTTTCAAATTTTTCCTCAAATGACCTGTTACACTTAATGTAGATATGGCCGAGAATGTAGTGTTGAATACTACTAAAATTGTTAACCAGTGCAAAACGGAGTATTTTTAACTTTCCAATTATTTTTTGAACCAATCTGTTAGGTTTTTCGGCTGTTTTAGGATGAGGCTCGAGATCTGAAATTATAAAGCATTTATTAAATTATAACATCAAGAATGAAAATAACATTTCCAATAAGGAAAGTACATTCTCACCTACGAAATAAAGATGATTCAATGTATATAAAGCCCATTTAATCTTTAGAATGAATAGAAAAATGTTATGGTACATGTCTAAGTGATATTCATGAACTAACAAATTGATTGGCCACTTGACTTTTGTGTGGATTTTAATAAATGTACACATTCTTAGGGGATCGTTGACTAGCTTCCAGTTGTTTTTCAATTCAACTCGACAATCATCAGTAAATTCTGGATAAACGTCCATTAGAATATCTTGCAAATACGTTGTTAGCCAAATTTGATTTATGTATGAATTAGAATTGGCCTGTTAAACAAAGAGAATTTATCGTTATTTAGGCTTATTAAGAGAACATCTTAGAAATATTAGACTTTAGAAACAGAAACAAAGTAGAGGGGTAGAAAAAGACCTACATTAGATTACTGATCGCAAATAGTTAAAAAGGTAGGATTATTCTAGTTTAAAATAAATACAAAGATTGAAACAGAATAGAAAGGAGTAAAGGCGCATATCCAATCAGTCATTAGACGATCTTGTAATGATAAAGATAAAACGTAAAATTTTGTAAAGCAGCTTTTCAAGAAATCTTTTTGGAGAAACTTAATGAACATTTCGACCGATCGGTCTTTCTCAAGGTATTGACTATAGTATCTTGAAGAAGATAGACTGGTTAAAACATTTGAGTTTCGCCTAAAATGTTAGGCTAAAATTTTTTCACGTGTTAAGAACGCTATCAGAAGCAGATAGATTTGGAAGATGACCTTATTAAGAATACTTTTTGGGAACGTCCTTAACATCGGTTCTTTTAAATACAAACATGAAAGTAGATAATTAAAATCAAGTAACTAGACATCATCATTTAGCCTTTTTACTTTAAATAGTGTAGTCAGCAGTCCCTTTATAAAACTGTCGAAAATTTCTTAATAAAAAGAAATAAGTACTAAGTTTAATAAAAATTATTTAAATTTAGCTCGTCAATTTTAAGTATAAAATATACTCACTTGCTCAATGTATCTTCTGTAAAACGGAAATATTAGCTCCCCGTCAAAAAGAAATAATTGCTTTAGAAACTTGAAATTGATATCAAGTTTGTGGTCAGTAACAAACAAGCCCTTTGCCAAGATCCCTGTTTGACTGAACTTATCAGTAATTATGTTGAACAGAGCGGTCTCAATTATTCTTTGTAGAGGGCAAAATCCTTTTAGGACTTTATCTAATCTAAAAAGGTTGGGCTAGAAGACTAAATATAAATCACTTAGGATAGCCTTTACCTTTGGTAAGAGTTCTCTCTTTGAGGAATAGAAATTTTTTCTTCACTATTTGAAAAATACTGTTTAAAAGCTTCCATGAGAAACCCATCTGACGTATCCACTAAATTATCTAATTCATTGCACCCATCTAAACTAATTTGATCTGTTTGTATTGGAGAAATTAGGTCATTTTTATCGTTAGTTTCTAATTTTTCTATTTCATTGGTTAAGACAAATTCATCACTAGATTCAAAGTAATTTGAAATTTCCCGTAAAACAGCATTTAAATATTCATCATGAAGAGAATCTGTAAGATTAAAACGCACTATTTTCGTTTGAAAAAAAAAACTGATGAACACCTACCTCCCACAACCTTAGCTGTGGGTAATATGTCACCCAGATGTGATTTTCCCAAAAGACGAAGAAGTCGAACATTCCTGCCTATCTGAAAGACTTCTGTACAAAAGAAGTTTATTATGCTGTTGTTATACTCGGACTGGTCTAAATCTCTGATACGAAGATCAACGATCTCCTGATTTGAATTCTCACCTCTATAATCACACATATTATCCTAATATAGTTCGTTTTTATTTGAATGCTTGGAAAATTAATTTAAAAAAGCAATACATAACAGGCACTTAGACAACGAAACAAATAAAAAATTTTGTTGGCATCGATAAAAACATAAGCCAAATATACTCGAAATTGAATTCTCATTCTTAAGTCTGTTTAGTAATAGTGGGAATAGAAGTGTGAGAGACGGGGAAACATAAGTAAAAGGGACAAAAGAGCAGTGAAGGATTATATGTGGAACGTTAGTGTCTTAATATTTTCCTAAATGAAATAAATAAGAAAACGAACTGGTGTTCTCTCAAATTCTAAGCTATGATGTAGAGTATAGATTTCCTAAAATTTACTACTGCAATGCAAACATTAAACACGTCATCACTTACTCCAAAATGACGAATTCTTCTGTATAATCCAAAAAAGAATCTTTAAACATCCAAGACTCCACGAAGTCCAAGTATTTCCGTAAGCTCTCCAAGAAAAGAGTAGCAACGATAACTTGTTCTCTATTATTACTTGTATTAGACAACTTTTCATGAAGTTTGATAATTAAATTGGTGGCACAATGATATCGAGAATTATTTTCAAAATCGATTATTACATCATCGTGAATCCTTTTAACCAATTCAAATGTTTCAAAAATGGGTTTTAATCGTTGGAATAATGTAATAAGGGTACAAATTGACTCTAAAAAATAAATCAGTGCTCTAACAAACGCTTAAGCTAATTATGAACTTGGAAAAACACCTTGTGCAAAAATGTCTTCTTCAACCTCTTTTAATTGTTGAAATAGGGGTTCTAAGATGGTTTTTAAAGCTGACGCATAGCATCTGTAGGTGTCGGGGGGTGAACTAGGATCCTTTGGATTATGAAGATTGAAATTGTGTACCATATGCTCGAATTTCTTTAAGCTTTGTATTACTTCGATGTGTGGCAAAATTTTAGATAATACTGTTTCAAAGCAATACTACAACAGGAAAATTTGTAAAGTACTCAAACCCTACAAATTAGTTGTAAAACGCGAAAATAGCGTAAACTAAAACATGAGTATGTACAAAATATTATTAAAAAAAAGTGTGAATATGTTTAAAAATTGAAAAGTGTCAAGGATATTAACCTGAATAATTGATTTTTTACCTCTCGTACGCTAGAAATAGTAATCCCCTTTTTGACTACAAGTTTATCCCCAGAAAATTCGAAGCAAAAACTGTTTGTAGGCTCATAAAGCTGCCATATTACTTCCCTCATCACTTTATACTCAGATATAACGCTTGGACTGATATCAGACAATAAACCACCTGTTATTTCATTGATATAATCATCCCTAGGAAAAGAGATTTACAAATTTGTTTTCAAAAAAAAAAAAAATACTTTTCATGAAAGCTATATTAACATCATTTGTGGGGGCTATTAATACTAAATACTTAAATATTGCGTTTGGATTTTTTTATCGTTATTAGATAGCATAATTTCTTTTCAGCAAATATTGAAAATATGTACGTTGAAAATTCACTGAAAGTTAATTTTGAATAAACTTTTTAAATAGAATATTCTCATTAATGACAGCATATTACTCAGAACTGTCGTTTTTTACGTTAATAATAATTCTGACTGTTGGCCATTTTCTGGTATTCGAGAGCACAATTTCTTTTAAACAATTTATTACATTTTGAAGACGCAATTCAATTTAATAAGTACTTATTTTTATAAATACCAGGCATTCTCATAAATGGAATTATTCTCTAAAACGTACTTTGTTGCTTTATTAATAAATCTGGCTTTTAACAGTGCATAATTAATTACAGAACAGATAATATTAATTTTTGGTACCCACTACGAGTGGTTAACATTTTTTTAACATATTTTTACTTAATTGTTGATTATGTAAATTAAATTTAGTAATTTCTTTAAATGAATATCCCACCATTGGCCTTAAATTATATTGCTAGTAGTATTTAGATTTCTACAAATTTCTGCAAATAAATTGCTATTAAAAACTAAACACTAGTATATAATTAAAAAAAATAACTTAATGAAATGTTAACCACTTGCAGTATCAAGAATTGATATTATCTGTTCTGTACTTACATAAATTACCATTAAGGGTAAAGGGAATTTTACCTANAAATAAAATAAAATATAGTAAAATAAAAAACAGTAATAAAAGATAAAAATAAGTTGTACTTACCATAAATATGCAATGTTTGCCTCCCTTTCGTTACTTGCAGGTTTATGTCGCACTTTATTAGAATGAAACCATTTATTTTGTACATTTTCTTCCAACTTTTGTTTAGATTCAAAATATATTTCACAAGGTTCTTTAGTTTGTTCTATCTTATCAATTTGAGGCAAGATACAATATTCATCATCAACTTCATCTTCCAATGCAATATCTGAAGTTATATCTGAATCAGACCAGTCCTTAAAAATATATTTAGTATTTAAAGTATAGAAAATTTAAAAAAGTATCATACAGGGGAAGCAATACTGTTGTTACTATTATATAAAAATGTATACAATAAGGACTTTAAAGACCTACATTAGTTTCTTCCGATTTCTCAGGGAACCATTTAATATCCTCAAAGAGGTAAAGGGGCCAATTTAAGAAAATATCCACGAACTAATCAAAAACAGTATTAGCAAATTTATTTGCAAGATATAAAATCAACAGGAGGCTGGAAAACTAAATGTTCAATTCATAATCATCTCACTTACAGAGTCAGATTCTTCAGGAGGTGGTGACCAATTTGGCAAACCCTCCTGTAGGTATTTCGGCCAATTTATTTCTGCCACTTCTTCAGTCTTTTGGAAATTTTGATTAAACTTGTAGAAATTATTTGTTGGACTTTCTGCCATTGCGATTATAAATCTGATAATGTTTATTTTATTAGAAGCATCATAAAACGTAGATACATCGTCCATAAATTTCTGATACAATGAAAACAGATAATTTGCTTGCACTTTAAAACCATGCACTAAAAATTTATCACTAAGGCTTTCCATAATCTTATTCATTTCTTCCCGACTTTTGAAGCACATGCTGTCAGATTTTTCTATGATNATCAATCCACCCTCGTATATTTAGTAATATAGCTACCTGACAACCTCGACCGCGCGTTACAATAACCACTTTCCGAACGTTAGATGGCGCCAAGCGCTACATACTGTATTTCAATAATTTCTGTATGTTTGTGTTCCTAAATATTTTATGCAATATGGCTATGTAACCATAAATTAATGGCAATAACCACGTTTATTTGGTTACGCTAATGTTGTTCCTACATTAAAGCCTCTTAGAATACTTTCTCTTTAGTTCTCCATCTCTCCCTTTCTGATATTCAAATAGACTAAAAAAAGTCACAAAATGCTACCTTATTCTGTAAATAATCCTGATTTTGTCACGAGGTAAATTGTTACTTTAGATTTTTCGTTAATTTTTTATTTTAATTATCTGATTATATTGTGTTTTTATTATTTTGGCGTGACTGGGCGTAAGGTATTAAAATGATAAGAAAGGCGAGATTGGAAAACAATAACAACTTTATTATATAGTAAAGTAAAATAGATATGAAATTTGAAAAGACACTAACTACAAATGGATTTAGAGTCAGTTGTAAAGTAATTTAGATAGATAACATTACAAATAAAAACTGAACAAAAACATTTATAAGAAGGATCCTCTTCTCAATGCAGATCAATACACCTTAAATGTTAACAAAATCGCATACGTTGATGGGATCGTTAGAATCATCTTGACCAGGAGCTAGTGCCACAAACACTTAGGGTTTCTTAGCGGTTATCCATTCAGGATAGAGTCTTTTTGTTAACGCGTTCCCGAGTCTACTGTCTGTGATTAGACCATCGATCCCCGTTCACGCGCTAAACTTATNTTCTATGATTGAAATAACTCTTTTTTCATTTTTTTCAAAACCAGGAGCATTTTCCTAAAATAAAAAGCAATTATTTAACCTAAAAATTATAGATTTTAAATTAGTATACCTCGCAATCTGTAATGTTTAAAATGAGTCTCCTTATAAGTTTAATAGATGCCTCCGAAATTGCATTCGACATGATAAAAATTATTCGTTAGGTAAAATGCAATTATTATCAATATACTGTTTCTGCTACATTGTATTCTTTTATAAACAAAACTCAACTTTAAACTGACATAAAACACAGCTGACAGCAGATTGTTGGTGAATCAATAGCACTACTCCTGCGTAATGGAACTACTACAAGCTTGCGCAAAAGAATATAAAGAATCAATTAAAATGAATTAATAATACACAAAAGATTAAAAAACTTTATGAATTAACCATTTCATTTTTACTTTTATTTAAAGAAGAGCAGAGGCGGAGAAAAATTCTCGAACATTCACGTACATTTCCTTATTTTTTGTACTCAATTTAATTTTCTTGGAAATTGCTTAAAATGACCCACTTATTTATTAGTTTGTGTTAGGAGATGGGATATCAATATCACCCGAGGAGGACTGAACTTTTACTCACCATAACCTAACCTAACCTTCCCTACTTAATCTAACATAACACTATCATAACCCAGGTCAGAGAGGGTAGGCTAATTTATGGTAGATAAAAGTTTTCCGCCCCTACTAGAGAACTTTACCTACTCATTCTTATGGGTGAGGCTTCAATACAGTATTTATGTCGTGGGCACTTTTCCAATTAGTGACAGTCAAACTTAAAGAGGTTATGTACCTATAAACAACTTATTTACAAAAAAAAATACCTTCTCATTTTTTTTATGTAAATTTTCTTAAAATTATTGGGCCATTTTAAAAAAAAAATTGATACGAAAGTTTTACAAAAATACAGTTTCCACCTAAGTTTTACATGAACGAATTCGCGGGTAAAAGCATTTTTAAATAAATGTCATGTAAAAATTACTTGTCAAATTATAAATTTCAATATTTATACTCATACGTATTTTTAAAAATTGAAAAGTGTTGTCTACAATAACGTTTAGTTTATATTGTAACTTTTGGAAATTTGTTACAAAAATTTGAAAATGTGCACTTACGATAATAATTCCGGTAATTGGCGGCCGCAAAACTACACTGGGGTAGATGAAAGTGCTATGCCATCAGAAATGCCGATGACGTTAAACTATAATAATTGTACATACAATCCGCCTCCGAAGGGAAATTTTAAAAGAATTCAGCAGAAATATCAACGACCATTAAATGCGTCTTTTTCTGGTTTGCGTAGGCCTTACACTTGTCCTTTGGTTCAATCAAACTCGGTTCCAATTCCTAAACGCACAGAAAGTACTTCGAAGTCGAGAACTAAGCAATATCAAGTCACCACTCGAACCGTTAGTGACTGGTGGCCCAATGATATTGCTGATTTGTTGGAAAATCCTCGGACTAGAAAAATTACAAAAGCTATACTAACCGGTAGCGAAAGAAACCCAGTTATCACTGTTCGTACTACAAAGATTGAAACGTACAATCCTTACCCGCAGACAGCATTTCTACAAACGCCACTTGCTGCAACTGCTCCTCAAAACAAAATAAATGATACTTCTCAGCAGGAGGGTATTGGCGAAGAACATTCGTTTCCTGTTTATGAAAATGAACCACTTCAAGAAACCCAAAGAGATTTGAAACAGGTTTTTCAAAGAAGAATTAGTAAAACAGAAAACCCTTGCGAAATGCAAGAAGACAGTTCTCTATCGAAGATGAGCACTACAAGAAAAAACACATCAAGTCAGCTTTACGAAAATAATGGGATCCCAAATCCATTTGATAGTGGTGAAAATGTACTGCCTCCGAAAATAAAAACCAACGCAGAACCGCCTCCTCAAAAGTATAACAAACAAACCTCTACATCTCAAACTTATCAGGAACAACCTTTGCCAATGCCTATTAACAGCCCACGGTGCAGCTTCAGGTCATTTTCTCAACGAAAAGACAGCGAAATTATCGATTCATCTACGACTCATAAAAACAATGGATGTCAGAAAGCAACATATTATCATTTGGACAAGTTGAGACAGATTCCTCAACACAAAAACAGTGAATCAAACTATCCGTTTGAAATCTACAAATATGACTCGTTGCCAAAAGTAGTAAATACTAATACGAAAAAATCACAGTGCTGTACTCAAACGGAGGATACTGGAACTTCCCCCCCACCCCAAAACCAAAATGTGGTAAGTGATTTTCAAAATGGTCAAAAACAGAAGAGCAACGATAAAGATGTATCACATTTTAAAAAATATGAAAATTCCATGGAATTTGTCAATCCAAATTATATACCTGAATGGCCTGACGAAGGCAAATCGAGCTATTCGACTGAGATAGAACTTTGTTCTTCAACTGAAACAGTAGGTTCCATACTTGATTTATTTGAGTACTCATATATATCCAAGATAAATCGACCACATCCAGGTTCACAAGTTTCACCAGTAAAGCATAAGATTTTTAAAGATTCTACAAGTCAAAAAGAAGAATGTGTTCGATTTCAGAATCAGAAAGATAAAGCTGTTAATCCTCATTGCAACAAATTTGGGTCGTATTGCACACCAGAAGTTATTTCACATCGGGTTTACAATTGCCCTACATTGAATTGTCGACATAAATGTGAAAAAACAGCCGGAACTTATAAGTGTCCGAGATGTGGAGGTATGGTTTTTCAAAAATCCGTTGATGAGCCAGATGTGTGTTAAGAATTTGCAGTTTCAATTGTACTTCCTTATTTTTTACACACTGAGAATATTAATTTTAATTTAAATAAACCTTAACAATTATGGTGATTACATTACACCTTAAGGTACCTGACACAACAGATTGTCGAAAATTCAAAATCGAGCAATATTCAATTTTCATGATAAATTATTTGCAACAAGGTATAATAAAGACCATTTTAAAAATAGGGAGAGATGGAATTTCAGAATATGTAATTGCAAGATCTTTCAAATCAAGGGAACATTATTCATCAAATTAGAATAACTCTTCCTTTTGGTCAGATATTTATCGAAACTGCCCATGACGAGCTAATGATATCAAACATAATATATCTGGCAGTTTCCATAAATATTTAACTATGAGTATAAACATTCTAAGTAAAATACTTTAGCCTGAGAAGGTCTTGGGTGCGCTCAAAGGTGGAAATCGAATTTAAAAACTTATGTAATATAATAATGAAACAGATATGATTACGGCATTTCCGATAATCATTTGATAATGATGAAAAATAGATCGTTTTAGTTAATCGCCCACCAAATCGGCGTCATTGGTTGCAAAAAAGAGAAGAAGTTAAATAATGAGAAAGTTTTAGTATGTCGCCATCTAGAAATATTTGTTTAATAAGGTATTTAAAAATTGGTTCTAGAACTTATAGATTCCCATCAACACACAAAATAAACTATAGGGTTGTTCGGAAAGTCATTTCGTTTTTTCCCGACAGAGGATTTAATTGTATTCTTTTGCACCCAACTTCACATTTAAGCCTTATAATTTTTATATGCTTTGAGAGCTCATATAGCAAGGCTTGTGTGTGAAAAATTCCAATTAATTCTACGCAGTAGTTTTTGGTTGGTGCC